GGCAGATGTTACTTTTTAACCTTAAGCATAACAGCTTGATGACTTTTTATGCAGCTATACTCAACCCACCCAGATCAAGATCTAGACCATGCCCAGCACCCAGGATGTTCCCTGGCTCCTCTGCCCAGTTATTAGCCACGATTCTGACTTCTGTCATCAATTTTAAGGCAATGCTTTATAATTATTTTCGCTATTCTAGTACTTGTCTCCACATTTCTAAATAATAAGCTTACACTTTTGATTTCTTGGTTTGCCAACTTTGGACAGTAACTAGTAACGTCCTAATAAGCTCATTCTCTTACTCCCCTTCTTCACCAAGTGAAGCTAAGTAACTCAGATTTCCAGCCCTCAGCACCACACTCCAGGCACCACCACAGCTGATTCTCAGTGGCATTTGTGCCCTGGGATCCCCAAGCCCTGGTACTTGGCCCTGAAGCTGGGAGGAACCCAAGGGCTCCTGATGTTGAACCAGCCTGATGCACCAGGCACAGGATGTCTGCTGAGAAGGGCTTTGGAGTGAAAATCAAACATGTTAACAAGCCCTGGGGTTAATCTGCAGTTGGAATGAGAGCCCAGAGTGCTTCTAAGACTTTCATTGCTTGTCAAGTGCGTTGTTGAGGACTTGCACATACATTCTATACAAGCTACTGGTTTAAATGAACCAACACAGGCTTCTCCCAGGGAAATTTGGAAAGGAAAGTTTCTTTGTATCACAGTTGTGTGGAATGTTCAGCACCAAACTTAGATGCAGGTACAGCCTCCTGTCGGACCCCATGCTTTGCAGGAACTTCGCCTACCATGGTGGTCCTCTCCCCATCGACCCAGCCTTGGCCATCAGTGTGCAACCTTCCTCCTCCTCCGGGGGCCACCACTTCTCACTTGCTGACACGGGTGAGCTGTGTGCCCCTCGCCTGGAAACGGCATTTATAGCAAGGATGTCACCGCTGACAAGCCCTCTGGCCACAAACCAGTGGAACACTCATTTCATGGCTTGATGTCCACTCAGGTGGGGCTCACCTGTGATCACTAATCCTTTCCGTTCCTCTAGGACTGAAGGGTGCATTGTGATGAAGCAGGTAAGGGAGAGAATGGGTAATGGCCATTTACATGAGGGAGAGACCAAGGCTCAGAAATGCAAAAAAAAAAAGAAACCATTTCAAGGTCTCTGAACAAATCCTCTTCAGCAGCTGGAGGCGAAGATGGGCCACAGAAAGCCTTCCCCGGAGGTGATCTTCCTGTAACAGAGGCCCAGCTCCCTACTTCGCTCAGGCAGGGTCCCCAGGCACCAAGCAGGGAGCGGTGGGAGCCTGGGTCCAGGGGATAGGCCCCCCTCGGGAGGGAACTGTATGCCCCCAACAGGGTTGGAATGGGCAGAACCCCAGTCAGTTGGTCCCCTGGGCACAGACCCAGGGTCTTGAAGAGGCGCAGTCCAAAGCCATGAGCTTGCCTCCCTCCAGGCCCGCACACTTCAGACCCGGCTGGTCCTTGTCTTCCTCCGGGACTCTGGGGAAGGAGGAGAGGAAAGAGGACACTCAGGTGTCGAAGGCCCTCCAGCCCGCATACCCACCGGCCAGGCCCGGGGTGTGGAAAGAGCCCTGTGGCAGGAGTCGTGAGGATGCCCCAGGCTCAGCTATGTGGCACTGGGTGAACCAGTAAACCTCTGAGTTGCACGTCCCTTATCTGTAGAACAGGGTGCCAATCCTGCTTGGGTGACGGTACTGGGGGTCTAGATAAGGGATGGGGTGGTGGGGACTAAACAAAACTAGGCCCTGAGCATGGGTATGGGGTCAACTGAGGCATTCAGGCTGGGGTGGAGCAGGGGGACTGAGTGTCGGGAGATGGTGGCTCCAGATGGCAGTGGGGGAGGTGTCTGCAGGGGGGAAGGCCTCCAGCCCCCCTTTGGCGCTTGCTGTGATGTTACTCTGGTCACATTGGGGAGCCCATGCTAGTGCAATAGGGATAGAGGCCCCTCCCCCCCCAGGCCCACAGTCACTCACAGCTGGGGTGGCAGGGGGCCCCCATCGATCCAGTGCCAGCCCTGGGGGCCTCGCCGGGCCCCCACCCAGGAGTACTTGGTGACAGGGTATCTGCCCAGGAAGTCCTGAGGGAGAGAAGCAGCTGGTCACTTCTCTGGATGCTGGCTCGTCTCACCGGGACTTTTGTAAGTTCCCAGCTGGCCAGGCCAGAGAAGCAACTCAGCTCAACCCAACTTGCCCAAACACCAGGAATCGGGAAGTTGGATGGGTTGCTTGCTGGTTGCCAGGTGCTGCACTCAGGATGGGGCCCAGAAATGGGGGCGATCCCATCTCAGCCCTCAAGGCGAGGGGATGTGAATGTCAATCCCTACCGAGCAAGAGGAGTGGGCAGAGGAACAAAGAGGCTCCGAGAAGAGGCGGGGAAAGGCATGAGCAAAGCTGGGAGGTGAGTGATGGGGTGGATCAGGCCGCAGGAGCCTCCTGGGAGCAGATAGTCAACAACACAATTGCCAGCAAGAGCACCAGTTACATTGCCTCAGTTCGGTGTGAGAACTGATTAAGACCATTAAAAAAATAGGAAGTCCACGGAGCACTACAGGGGAAAGGTGTAGCGCGGGGCTGTAGTATGTGAAGGGTCACAGAAAGCGAAAAAGCTGAATCACAGTGTGGCTTGATTATAATAATGAAAAGGTATGTACATACAGGGACACAAACATGAGGAACAGCAAGAATGAAAACAAGTGTGTTAGCTATTAGAAATGATAATTTTACCGATTTATCCTTGATGTCAGATTTTTAACAAAACATGGTATTAACGTTAAATTCAAAACTTTCAACTTGTTTTTCAGTTGCAATTCAATTACACTTAAAAGGTGTTTCTACATTGAAATTCCCGGTGCGATGCTGCCGGTCCACACTGGCCCAGTCTTTCTGGAACATAACTTGGGGCTACGCCCATAACAAGATCAGGAACACGGTTCTAGTCACTTGGATGGGTGATTCCACGTTGGGGAGTAAACCCAAGAGCATAAAGGGGAGTAAACGAATTTTCCCGCAGGTAACACAGTACCATTTATAAAGAACAATTGAAAGCCACCCAAATGCCCAGCAATGGGGAAATAACCAGGCCAATTACGGGATAGCAACATGATGGAAAATTGCAGTGCTGTTAGAGATGACAAGGACACAAAAAATGTAGTTACGCAAGAAAATGTAAATATGAAAGGATGCTGTGGAAAAGGCAGGCCACACCAGCACCGCACCTCGCCCACACTGCCAAGAAGCATACAGTCACGTTAGTGAAGCGGATGGTGTAAATGGATTTAACGATATATTCAGGTCTTCCCCAGAAAATGGTTTCAGCTGACAAAGATAAAACCTCTACTTAACCCTGGGAATTAGCAAGTGAGCACTGGAGTGATGACCGTGCCACTCCTATTCATCCTTCAGTCTCACTCACCATGGACCACCAGGGCCCAGCAGTCGGCCAGCTCAGCAAAACTGCCTCCCTGTGACCCTGCCGGTAACCACCAAGGGCCCCGGGCAACACTGGGCCACCACCACAGCTGTGTGCCCCAGAGGTGTAAGCACACATACATCTTACTCCCAAGGGAGCACCAGCCAGTCAGTAGCTGAGAGGAACCAGAAGCAAATTTCCAGGTAACCTTGCTAAGCTGACCCATCTGAGATCCCAAAGATCAGACCGCATATGAAAATGGAGAGTGATGAGAACAGGCAAGGCACACACAAGCCCTGCCTTAGCTGGCCTTTTCCTCTTGGCTCCATGCCCCCAGCTGGGGCCCACGGGCAGGGCTGGGTGGGAAGCTCTGGAGAGGATGAGCCTGGCCCTGAGGTATGAATCAGAAAGCAGAGCAGCCCAAGCATCTTGCTGCACGGCTGCACAGACCTGCCCTCCGGGGAAAGGTCAGCTGCTGGTTGGGAAAGGCACACCAGGGCTCAGGCGAGCTGTCACTGTGAAGCGTAGAGCTTTGGAGCCAGGCTGTCCCATGTTCAAACTCTGGTTCTGTTGACTTGTCAGGGCTGTGACCTGAGGCAGCTTACCCAGCCTTTCAGAGCTTCAGCAAGGTCCACTGTAAAATGGGGACGTTTGCAATGAGGCCCGAGATAGCATGTATAGAGCCCAGGGCACAGAGTACACACTCACCACATCCCCTCTGCGGAGGAAGCCCCGTCTCTGCTGGGTGGTGTGCAAAGCTTTGCGCCCTGCTCCCCAAACGACCTCATCTGATGCTTACAGCAATGCCAAGGGCACCCTGTCCTTTCTGTCCTAGCCCTCTGGGCCTCCTGGTGACAGGAGCCTTGGCCTGTCCCATGCAGCAATACCCTCTCCATTCGGCTTCTTTCCCTTGCAGCTCAGACTTCATTAACCTGTTAGCAAAAATAATGGTGTGGAAAAAGCACTGTCAAGAATTATAAATAAATTCCAGAAACTTCCGCTCAAAGGACTGCTCGGTAATGATGGCACAGCGATCCTGGGGCCTCGCCACCTCCCGCGGGTGCGTCTCCAACTTTCCCACCAGTGCGGGGAGGGAAATTCTGATCCTGGGCAGAATGTACTTGAAATCTCATGTTTTACACCTTAAAAGTCAGGCGAAGTATTTTCTATATCTTCATACGCTTTTTAAAATTGTGGTAAATTACACAGCCGGTGTGTACATTTAAGGCAGCTTCTCCTTTCCTCGCCCTGCAAAACGAAGCTGTCACTGAGCCAATGGCGAGTGGCTCTGAGATGACATAGGTGGCCTGAAACTCTCCTTTTTGCTAACTGAGCAAAACCCGCTCTGGGGAGGAGCCGTGTGCACTCCCTGGTCCCGTGGCATGTCCCTGGGGCTTGTGCATCCCAGCTCAGGAAGCTTGGCCTTTGCCAGCCGGTGCTCCTCACCCCTGGCTCGGCACCTCCCAGAGCTTCTGGCCCTGGTCCAAACCTGGGAGGATTCATCACATGCCGATTTTAACTGCCTGGACCCAAATCTTAGAGTGGGTCTCTCTGCAAGGGGCTTTTTAGAAGCTCTTTTTTGGAAGGAGCTTATCCAGGCCCTGTGACATATTTTCTGAATATTTACTTATGTTTCAATCGATTGATCCTGTGTGCATTTTTTTTTTTAATCTGTTAAACCCGGCTCCCCTTTTGAGGACCCACCAGCCAGGAGGCCATTGCTCAGCTGAGGTCCAAGGTCATTCTGGATTGACCATGACTGATGAAGGCCTGAAGGGCACTGGCTTTCTGATGACACTTGCTGTGCCCAGTGACTCTGTCTCAGGAAATGGAAAAATTAGGCAGGGCTGCCAAGTCCCTGCCCTGCTAGGCTCCCTCCCCAGCTTCAAGCACTCTAGGGACCTGCCCATGTTCCCACTGGTTTTTAACTTGCAGGTGTGATCAGGCTGGGTCCTTTGATGCAGGGGCCTGGATAGGTTTCTCTGCCCAGCCTGGTCTCATCTCACAATGATAAGAACTCAAGGTCCAGCCCAGGCCATGGGCAGAAACTGTTCTATACCCATCTCTTACCTCCATGGGCTAGAAAAAATCAAATATCACTCGAAATCTTGCCTCCTCTACATGCCAACTACCATTAAAATATTAGCATGTTTATTCTTCACATCTATATTTACCATAGTGGGAAATTTTTTCAGTCTACACTGCACCTTCTTCATTTCCCCATGTTTTTTGAGATATGTTATTTCTACTAATATAATAATTTATGTTCACTGTAAAACATTTTCTCCAGCAGATTTTTATGTCTACTTCCAGGAGTTCTTCCAGAGAAAAGAAAAAGACAGAAGTTGCGCTCCCTGTGGTATGGGGCAGAAATCGTTTATTGCAGGACTGAGCAGGAGCAATCTAAGAAAATAAAATTTTATGCATACAAAGATCTAAAATTCTTGATTAATGTCTGCTTCACTCATTGCTCTCTTAGCTATCAAAGATGGAGGCTGTGCTGTTCAGGCTCATCACTGAATTCCACCCTCCCCCCAAAACAATATAGAGAAAGTGCTCAACAAAGATTTATTGATGCTGCATTTTCATAGATAAGAGAACAGCTAACATAGATTCTTGGCACCTAAATTAGATAAAATGAAGTCAAGGTCCTCTTTTATAGCCACTCTCAGACCCACTGGTTGGATTATTATCCAGCAAATAGTCACTCTTCTCCCCCCTCCCCAGGGGATGGAGATCCTACGCTGTCTGTCCCCTTGATGTTGGGCTTGGCCTTGTTATTTGCTCTGGCTAATGGAATGTTAGCTGATATAACATCAGCAGAAGCCTTAACTGGTCCTTGATTCTTGCCCTTCTGCCATTTTTCTTATGAAGACTTTCCCTCAGGTAGAAGGACCAGAGAGTCACAGAGTAAACCCCGCTGGGCTCAAGGCCAGCCCCGCAATCTGCATCTGAAGCTGAGCTGTCTGACAAACCAAGATCAGCCCATCAACAGTCCTCCCACAGATCAAGAAATGCTTGTGGTCTAAAGTCACAGACTTTAGCGGTGATTTGTCACCCTGCGTTATTATAGCAAGACCTGAATAGCATACCCACTAAATGTAATTTATTTTTCATATAACCTCCCAAGAGTATGCATGTGTCTCCCCTCAGATCTGCCAGCGCAGACTGGTTCCTGAGCTCCCTGTTGGCTACATGGCCACCACGCGGGACGAGGGCAGCCCTGCTCTGGTCCTCCAGGTCCACCTCCACCTCCACAACTTAGAATGCAGAGGAAATTGAAGACCTCGGCGATCGGAAGTCTAGTGCCCCTGCGTGCCACTATCTTTCTCCAAGCCTGGTGACTTTTTCTGAAAGGTGGAGTTGGACTAGATCCTTGCGATTCCTTTCAGGGCTAGCAACCTGTACACTGTAATGATATGCACACCCCTCCACTGCCCACCTTCCCTCCCTCCCTCCTTACCTGGGTGTGGCTCAGCAGGGGGAGGGTAGCATGGTGGGCGGAGCAGAAAGCCTGGCTGGCCTCCCAGGCTTGAGCTTCAGTAGAGAGGCAGTAACAGTGCTCCCCAGACCACAGCCAGCCATGGGGACACGGCCGGCACACGGCCCCTGAAAGCAGAGACCACAGGTGAGCTGCAGGGTAAACTAATGAGCTGAGTGCGTGCTCCTTAAAAAAATGAAAACCTGGCCACCGCCTTGACTGAGGGGCAAGCAGGTGGGCAGGGACCGCAGAAGGCTGTACAGTTTGTGCGGGGCTCAAAGCCCCCCAGGCAGGGGCTGACCCCTGATTGCCTGTCAAAGCATAGCGGGGAGGAGGCACCATACCTGTTCTAGAGGCCAGGGCCACAATGGCGACCGTGGACACCGCCAGGAGCACGGCCATGACCGCCAGGGCCCAGCGCAGGGACTTCAAGTACATGGGCAGCCCTGGGGGGAGGGGGGGGGACAACCGGAGAGACAGGTTAGAACCACTGACTTATACCCCAGCATCACGCCCACAGGAGCACCCCCTCCCTCGGCCCAGACACCAGGATAAGCCACTCGATTTAGGTGAGAATAGCCTATCTGGGAGAAAAATGCTGGATGTTTACTTCTTAAATAAGGTTCTATTCAAGAAAGAGAACAAGCCCCGGCCAGGTGGCTCCATTGGTTAGAGCGTTGTCCTGATAGGCTAAGGCCAAGTTCAATCCCTGGTCAGGGTGCATACAGTAGTCAACCAATAAATGCATAAATAAGTGGAACAACAATTTGATGTTTCTTGCTCTCTCCCTTCCTAGCTCTCTAAAATCAAATAAAAGTTTTAAAAAAGAGGACAAATAACTGGCTAACAAGCATTTACTGTGCAGCTAATGTACCCTAGACACAGGGCATAAATTCACCAAGAACAGGGCAAGGCCCCTGCACTCAAGCAGCTAATAGACTGGGCAAAGGTACCTGGAGATAAAATTACAAATGAGAGAGGAACGAGGGCTAGATTTGGAGTTTGACAGACCTGAGTTCAAGGTCTGACTCAAGAGTTCTTGGTGTTTTCAGGTTTTAACACTGAAATCACACCTGCCTCTTCTGTCTGTCCAGGTCTGGAGGCCACCAAGGAAGCCTCATAGGTCCAGAGAGCACTTCGCAGGCTGCAGAGCACTAGGCAAGTGTGAGTTGTCAGCAGCTCAAGGCCCCAGGGGACCAGATGGCTGGCATGAGGTTGCAGAGAGGAAAGGAACTCCGGAGATGGGAGTGGGGGAGGGGGGGGCGGGCACGGGACCTAGCCACATCATGGATGACCTTAAAAACACTATGCTAAGTGAAAGAAGCCAGACACAAAAGGACATGTGTTATATGCAAACCCATCGAGACAGACAGTAGACTAGTGGCTGCCTGGGCTGGGGGATGATAGCTAGAAGATACAGCACTTTTCGGAGTGATGAAAATATTATAAAATGGACTGGTGATGGTCACACAACTCTGCATATACTAAAAACCACTGAATTGTATGCTTTAAATGGGTGAATTGTGTTATGTAAGTCATAGCTCAGTGAAGGTGTTACCCAAATAAGCGATTTGAAAATGCGTGGAATAAAAGATACATAAATTGACAGTCTTAAAATAACAAAAGCAGAACTAAAAAAGTCTGGAGAAGCAAAGGAAAATAACCCTGCCAACCACCTCAGTAAATATAAATATTGTGACGGAACAGTAAATTCAGCTCCAACCTTTCAGAAAACAGAGCAGTAACAAAATACAGTAAGTTACTAAAGTCTCAGACACCTTCCACACTCGGCTGCAATGCAGACCTGGGAAATGGCCCCCCACAGCCATTTGTCTCCCAAACTTCCAGGCAAAGAAAAAGTCCTACACACTCCCTTTAGAAAGCAATTCTTTTTTTTTAAGTTTCTATTGATTTTCAGAGAGGAAGGGAGAGGGATAGGGATAGAAACATCATCCATGGGCTGCCTCCTGCACGCCCCCTACTGGGTGGGGACCGAACTTGCACTACCGGGAATATGGACAGTGACCTCTTGGTTCCTGGGTCGATGCTCAAACCCTGAGCTACACCAGCCGGGCTAGAACGCAATTCTTAATCACACAAGTAACAAATACATTCTCCTTGTAAAAAAAAAAAAATGAAAATACAGCCTGGCTGGTGTGGCTCAGTGGTTGAGCATTGACCCATGAACTAGGTCACTGGTTGATTCTGGTCAGGGCACATGCCTGGGTTTCCCCGCTCCATCCCCAGGAGGGGGGCGGGGGAGGCATGCAGGAGGCAGCCCATTAACGATGTTTCTCCTTCATCGAAGTTTCTATTTCTCTATCCCTCTCCCTTCCCCTCTCTCTAAAAATCAATAAAAACATTTAAGATAGAAAATACAAATGAAACTACTCCCCTTCCCCTCAAAACAAACCAACCAACCAACCCTCCTACTTACCGTCCAAGGCTTAGCTCCAGGAAGCTTTCCCAGCCACTCCCTCCGGCTCCCTGTCCAGGATTGCTTATTTGTTTCTATCTTTTCCAGGCTCTTTCTTATTCCCTCCCGATCGCCTCCCTGCCCCACCCCGCAAAGAAACGCACACACACCCTAACACAGTCTCAGCAGAAGTTGCTGCCTGGATGAGTGGGGGTGGGGGGGTGAGACAAGTGTTCCCCAGTGTACAGTGGACGGAGAGAGAGCCTGAACCTGCGAGCGGGAGGCCCGGGGCAGAGGGGCGGTC